TCTCAGGTGAGCCTGTCGACGATTCTCCGTTCACCTCGGAGGAACTTGTGACGCTCGTGGCCGAGGTCATCATCATCTTGCGCACCTGCAAGACTCGATCTGAACAGCTACATCTGCCCTGTCCCTTGTCACTAAGTATGGACCGTGAAGCCATCAAGATCGTAAATTGGAACGCTTGCTCCTTGAAGAGCAAAAACATCGAGTTTGTTGAGTTTCTCAATGAACGAAACATCGACATTGCCATCATAACTGAAACCCACCTGAAGCCTGAAACAAACGTCTACCTTCCCGATTTCCGGCTCGTGAGGCTAGATCGAACCAACTCTGGAAGAGGAGGAGTGGCTATTGCACTAAGGAGAAACATCTGCTGTCGACTGATGCCCAGCTTTCGGCTGAAGATCATCGAAGCCGTAGGGGTGGAAGTTTCTACTCCTATCGGCCCCATCACTATCGTCGCGGCTTACTGCCCCAAACAAGTCAACATCAGGGACGGATCGGCAGCAGATCTGCGACGAGATATTATCAAGCTAACACGACGACGGGAAAACTTTATCATCGCTGGCGACCTGAACGCCAAACATCAAGCTTGGGGCAACAATCGGCGCAATCAAAACGGCACCATCCTGAATAACGACCTGCAGGAAGCGCAGTACAACATCTTGAGTCCGGAAACTCCCACCCGGTTGAGTCGGTCCGGTGTTCACGCTACCATCGATATCTTCATCAGAAACATGGGCAACAACATCGCTCAACCTATCACCTATCAGGAACTCAGCTCGGACCACTACCCGGTGGTGACTGAGGTGGGATCCTCCGTAAATCGATTTGAAGCTTTCCGGCGCAACTATCATCGTCTTGACTGGGGTCAGTTCCAACATTGCGTCGACACCGCTGTAGACTACGATGTCCAACCGGAATCGTCCGAAGATGTTGACCGGTGTCTGCGCTCCATCGATCAAGCAATTTCCCGGGCCAGGGAGCTACATGTGCCAGTATCCAGACAGGTGAGTAATACTCTGAACCTTGACAGGCCTACTAAAGACCTCATTAAACTCCGCAACACGATTCGTAGGCAGTACCAGCGTACTGGGCTGCCTAACCTGAAGACCAATTGCAACCGTTTGAACAAAATCATCCAAGCCAGGATGGTGGATCTCAGAAATATCGATTTTGCAAACAAGATTCGCTCTCTCCCAGATTGTGCTAAGCCATTCTGAAAAATGGCGAAGATTTTGAAAAATAAGCCGAGGCCCATTCCTCCCCTTTCCTCTCCTAACCAAAATTCGGACCCATCTTTACTAATAACCCCATTTGAAAAGGCCAATGCTCTTGGACAACACTTTGTAAATTCACATAACCTTGGCCACGCCATGGTGAGTCCCCACGAGCCTGCAGTATCACAGGCAATGTCTAGAGTCGCTGCCACCCCCGTAGTTGTCCCTGACGAAAGTACAATATCGGCTGATGAGGTGATAGCAGCGATTAAATCAACAAAGAACATGAAGGCCGCTGGTGTCGATGGAGTGGTCAACCTCGAGCTGAAAAACTTGAGTTTTGACTTCTTCAAGCACCTTGCGGTGGTCTTCAACAAGTGTTTAATGCTTGGCTACTTCCCTGCATGCTGGAAGTTAGCCAAAGTTATTCCAATTCACAAACCTGGCAAAGACCCTACCAGTGCCAAAAGCTATTGCCCCATCAGCCTCTTGTCATCCATCTCGAAGCTATTCGAAAAACTGATACTCAGCCGTCTGCTGGTGTTTTCAAATGATAATAACATCTTTCTCAAAGAACAATTCGGATTTAGGAAAGGCCAGTCTACCATCCACCAACTCGCACGGGTTAGTAACATCATCAAGCGGAACAAGTCCGTTTCCAATACATCTGCCATGGCATTGTTGGACGTCGAGAAGGCGTTCGACAATGTCTGGCATGATGGCCTAGTGTACAAGCTGCATCGATACAACTTCCCGATCTTCCTCGTGAAGATCATCAAAAACTACTTGTCGGGCAGATCATTCCAGGTCTACTTGAACAATGTCTCCTCTGATACGTTCAACGCTGATGATGGAATTCCCCAGGGTAGCCTCCTTGGTCCTATCCTCTTTAAGATCTTCACGTCAGATGTTCCTCCCCTTCCGGGTGGTGGTATGTTGTCAATGTTTGCGAATGACACTGCCATCATCTATAAGGGTCGAGTGATCCGTGCTCTGACGAGAAAACTCCAATCAGGCCTGGATGTTCTGTCCGACTATTTTAAAAGCTGGAAGATTTGTATCAATGCAGCTAAAACACAGACCATCCTGTTTCCACACTCCAATTCACCCCGGCTTGTTCCATCTTCTAACTCAAAAGTCCACCTTGATAACACTACCATTGAATGGTCGAGTGAAGTCGTCTACCTTGGTCTCACCCTTGACAGCAAGTTGCTATTCCGGTCCCATGTGGACAAAACACCCACCAAGTGCAACATCTTGATTAGGTCGCTCTACCCACTTATCAACAGGAAGTCCACCCTTTCCCTTAAAAACAAGCTTGCCATCCACAAGCAAATCATCCTCCCCACCATTGAGTACGGAACGCCAATCTGGGAGAGTTGTGCTATGTGCCATCATCTCAAACTCCAAAGGATCCAGAACAAGATCCTTAGGATGATCCTAAACAGTCCTCCACGGACCCGCAATTCTGAGGTCCACCGCCTGGCTGGCCTTCAGCATCTCGAAGAGCGACGAACGGTCTCCATGGAAAGGTTCAGAGACACCTGTCTGAGATCAGATCATCAGATCATACGTGATCTGGCACGTTAGGTTAAGTTAGAGTCGTAGTTAGGTAGGTTATCAAATTTTTCAATTAATACAAAACACACTCCCCAAGGGGTATTCTGCTAACTAGATGAAATACGCAAATAGTAAACTATCCAATTATCCAAATATCCAATGAACAAAGGTGACGAGCCAGATAGGCTAATCAATTAATCTGTAAAATCAATGTATAAATCATAAACAACAGAAATAAACGAACATTTTACTACTACTACTCGACGAATGGAGCTAATTATTTGCAGATTTCCTGGAAAGATAATAAATACCTAGTAATGGAATGCGGGAGATTAGCTTTGCGATTCGTGGTAAATATTGATTCATTATCGTTTATTATAAGCCCAGGCGGCCCTTATCTGCTTATTCAATAGAAAACGCGTCAATTCTTCAACCCACTATAGGCTCTAGACAGTGACATACATCTCTTTTTACACCTGATACTGAAGTGTATCAAGATCTGTCAAGAGACCTCATTTGAATAACCTTAAGCTTGAAAAATTTATAGTATTAGACGAATTTAGTCCCTCGAAGGACAAGCTTGATACAATCCACAAATGGCCGTTGTCATGACTGTTTTGCCTTGTAAAAAAGCCATAATAGATGCCATTTGTGGATGAAATCAAACGTGTGCTTAAATTGGCTTCCACAAGTTGATCTACCACCCTCCCTCCGTCCCACGTTGCATTTGCTCACAGGTTCAATGAGTCCGTGAAGCTCAAGAGAACTTTTTCACAACATCCATCCACATCATGGAATTATATCAATAACATATATAATGCACTCCAAATTATTTGAAATTAGCATCATCAACTACACAAATATGGTTTTCTATGTAAAAATATATAAAAAATAGCGTCCAATCAAAAAATTCCAAAAATTTACGGAAAGGTGTTGATTCTATGATTTTTGAAAATTTTTTAGTGTTCAATGTTTCTAATACTCCATAAGTTTGTAGTTTAAAGCTTTTTTAAATCAAATATATTGAACAAATATTTTTCAAATAGGGGACATGTCTCTAATGTTGGCCTATGGATTTAAGATTGGGCCCATCGCTAAAAATCTGCTATTTATCAATTTTATCTAGATGAACGCGTTATTGAGACGTTACTAATGGATATTTTTGGTTGCTATTGAAAATTTAGTCGATTGTGGAATTTATGTATGGGCCCGAATTAGGGACTCTTAGGCCGACATTACCTGCATTTCCCCTGCTTAATTTTTATCAATTAAAAAAAAATCTCAAAGTTTTATAAAAAATTACCTTTATTTTTCCTAGAAAGATTTAATTTTTCCCAAAAACTTTGTGTCAGACGCCATAATGGTTAGAAGGCACGTTTTCGTGGTTCCCTAATTGGCCCTATCTTGTGTTTCATTTTTTTCCATGTTATACTAATCTTATTTCCATGCAGGGTTAGAACATAGACTTTGTCATATGTCTACGCGAATAAAGCCATGAAAATTTACTTAAGATCCGAAACAAATAGTATGTTGCTTCCTTCGGTAAAGATGTTCAGGAAACAAGGTTTTTAAAACTTGGAGCGTGGTCAAGATTTTATTGGAGAGGATGCTTTCATTTGAGTATTCAAAAATGGCTCATCGTTAATGATAGCTTGTTCAAGACAGAGTCGATTTTATAATAAGAGTCCCGCCAAGAGAAAATGTAGCGAACAATCAGCACTGTTTGTGATTTATTTTTCGTCAGAGTAAACGGCAACCACATTTTTTGCGTAAGCATCGGATGACTTTCATTCAGAAGTGAAAAATGTAATGTCGATAACGCAGCTTCTGTAAGACAAAAACAATTATAAAACCTGAGAAATGTTTAAACAAGTGCTTGGTATAACTTATAAATACCAAAATGTACTAAATAAAGCGAAGAAATGTTATTCATATAATATTACTCAAATATAGTCAGTAATGAATGTAAAACTACTAGTTCACTGGCTGTGGGAACAATTTGACTCTGGTTTAAGATATCATATGATAACAAATAAGGCATGTCTGTGAAGGTGTTTGCAGCCGATAAAGCGTCACCTTATCACTTCTATCCAATAAATCTTGGAGCTGCTATCAGTGGATTGGGAATATTTTTCGCATATAAATATAAATGGGTCGCTTTGGTGCCAGTACAGTTGTAGTTCCACCAGCATTGAAACCATTCGCGCTATACCATACGGAAAAGCCATGACAAGGTACGTCAAATAGTTCAAAATTATTTAACTGACAGAATTCCAAATCTGAACGACTACCTGTTAGAGTAGGAGTTCGTCAGGATAGCATTCTTGGGCCTATTTTGTATAACATTTTCAATTCGGACCTCCCTGATTTGCCTCAGGGTTGCCACAAATCTTTGTTCGCCGATGTAACAGACATTTCTGCTAAAGGAAGAAGTCTTCGTGCTATTTGCAGCAGACTGTAGATATTTTCATTTCTTATTTACAAAAATGGAAGATTTCTCCCAACGCTTCCAAAACTCAACTTATAATATTTCCACATAAGCCTAGAGCTTCGTTTTTGAACCCTAGTAGTAGTCACATAGTCACTATGAACGGAGTTCCAATTTCCTGGTCAAACCAAGTGAAATATTTTGGATTAGTACTTGACCAAAAATTAACTTTTAAAGATCACATTGAAGGCATTCAAGCCAAATGTAACAAATATATAAAATGTTTGTATCCTCTTATAAACAGGAAATCCATACTTTGCGTGACGAATAAACTTCTAATATTTAAACAAGTTTTTAGACCGGCCATGCTTTACGCTGTGCCAATATGGTCTAGTTGTTGCACTACCAGGAAAAAAGCACTTCAAAGGATTCCGCACAAAGTTCTGAAGATGATTTTGATGTTGCCTCCCTGGTATAGTACTACCGAAGTACATAGAATTTCGAATGTTGAGACTTTAGAACAAATGTCCAACAAAATAATTAATAATTTCAGACAAAAATTCCCTTTAAACTTAGATAAGATTTAGTTTTAGTTTTAAGATGTCAATTATCATACTGACATGCAGGTTTAAAAAAACCGGTTTAAAATACTGAATTGCCAAGGCAGGAACAATGTAAAAACACTTAGATATATATGATAACAATTAAGGCTGGTTAGGTAGTTAAAAAAAAATAAAAAAAAAATAAAAAAATAAAATAAGGTACGTCAAATCTAGTCTATGGATCGTGAAATTTATAAACAATTCTAAATTTTAGTAAATTCAATCAGCAAGTTTTGGCCGAACATAATCAACTTCGTGCCAAGCATTCGGCCGCCCCGCTTACGCTCGATTCAACCCTCAGCAAGTGCGCACAGGAATGGGCCAATGTAAGTGTCCTATAACATCATATTCTCCATTGTGGTGTATTACTTCGGCGTTTTCTAGACGCTGGTGAATACATCGTTCATACCTAATTTACAGTATTATCAACAGACAAACAGGCGTAACTTAAATATATCGTCGGGACCTCCCTTAGCTCAGTTGGCAAAGGCGCAGCTACAAAGCAAAACCATGCTGGAGATGGCTGGGTTCAATTCCCGGTCCAGTCTAGGAATTTTTCGGGTTGAAATTTCCTCGGCTTCCCTGGGCATAGAGTATGATTGTACTTGCCACACAATCACACAATTATACTAATGCGAGAATGGTACAGGTACCGAAAACTCTCAACTAATAACTATGGAAGTGCATATATAACACTAAGTTGAGAGCACGCAATAAGCTAATATGTGAAGAAGTAATTATCTCGTCACGGAACTCACTAATGACATCTCGCGAGCTATTCGAGGAAAAAAGCTTCCTGGCCAAGTATCAAACACTGTTGCATACAAGTTCGATAGAGTGTATAGAAACGTCAAAGTGATCCGATGCCAGCGCTGTCAAATTGCACGTTAAATGCGTGTACGACGATTGTGGAGAAAGATATACGTCTGTTTGTCTGTGGTATTACTCATCGCATTGGTGGTAAAGGGAAAACAGGGATGACACATACCACTTCCCCTTCCCCTAATTTTTGTCTCGTCTTTTTTTTATCTATTAGAACATAGCCAGTCGGAATTGCATGCAACATCGGCCGAACAATCGTTACGGTGAGAATATTTACGCTTCCTTCGGCAGAACGAATATCTCAGGAGTAGAGGTGGTCCGATTATGGTACAATGAAATCAAGAACTACCGTTTTGGACAGGCCAATCCCACCAACTTCAGTCAGGTGGGCCATTTCACTCAGGTGGTTTGGAAGCGTTCAACAAAGCTGGGAGTGGGAATCGCTAAGAATGGGTGAGTTGCGGAAATTTTGACCCATACGTGAAGTTCATTGGTTTATGTGTTCAATTTTCAGGACTAATGTGTACGTCGTATGCAACTACAGTCCCCCAGGAAACTACGGTGGACAATACCCGGCTAATGTTACTCGCAGCTAATTGTTCACATGACAGTTTGTGACATGGTTATTTTTAGTATAATTATTTTAAATATTGTCGACTTTGAAATTTATTAATTTCTATAATAATATAGTTATCAAAATGGAATCATATGTTTTTAAATCTTCAAAAACACCGAAATACCTATACCTGCATAATAAAACGAGAACTCACTCGTGACGACTTTGAGTTGCCTCCCCAGTTCGCATTATACTCTTTTGCCGTACGGATCTATTGGCTTCTTACTGCTACCTTAAAGCTAAAACAAATTTAAACAGCACTTCTCAGTGATACATATTACTAACAAATTTTCAATCATGTTTGACTCTTATTCTTCTCCGTAAAAAAAAAAGGTTTTCGTATCTGTCATGGATACAAAATGCTAAGTGGAATCAAATCGAAAATAACAACCTTTTTTGCTCTTTTAAATATTCCACTAACAACTAAATTTAATAACTTTCATGTTTTGAGCATTTTAACCACCGACAAACCGACATGAAACTTAAACTTAACTCTTGATCGAGAATCCATAACGGCGGATTCAAATGTGCAGCGATCCCATCTGTCAAAACCATAGAAATTTGTAATCTAGATTAAAAAAAATTTGCCCGGAATAGCTTAGACACGAACCAATTTATTCAGTTTGTATGCGGGTTCGTGGCTAGGATACACAATTTTCGCGAACACGGCGGCAGATGTCAGTTTTGTGCTTTGATCATAAATTTGATGATACTTTGTATGATCATTCATGTCGGTTTGTCGGTGTTTTAACTACCGACACATATAAACGCAAAAATATAATTCAAATATGAATTATTTTAGAATCTAAATTCCATGTTAGATTAACATTCAAAGATAGCTGAGTACATGCATCTAAAAACTTTTCCACATTAATTTATTTTTTAACGAATTATTCAACAAAACTGCTTGAATCTGATAAATTTCGGTGAATTGTTCAGAACAATTTTTTGCTTTTTGCATTGTTCGTACCACTACGTCAACATTGTAGCGAATATTATACTTGTGTTTTAATATACTTTGAAGGGCCGCAAGATCTCACTAATACCAACCAGTGGAAACTAACGATTTTAAATTGGCTCACTAATTGACTAGCCTATTGGGCACAAGCAAATCGATTAACGTACCCCATTCTAGTCGAAACTCTAGTACTACATGTAACAGCTCCAAACAAAACGTCTTGTTCCGATGAGTAGTTGAATATGAATGACGTTTTATTATCAGTATCCTGGCTTGGCCTACTATCATTACATTCTTAAATCTATGCCTACTACATCTCTCCTTTCTTTTATTTTTTTTAAATTTTATTATTATTATTTTTATTATCATTGTTTAATAATCTTATAAACTTCATAATCATTTAAATATTCAGGTTTGCGTTTCTGTCTTTTTCTTCGAATTTCCACCGGTTCTACTGTTGCTTCTTCCTCCATTTCATTAACCGGAACATCCTCAGAATTGGCGAGAACTTCATCTAAAGCTGTACTTCCGACGTTGAATGGGTTACTAGAAATCAAAAGTTTTGCATGATTCACGTGACGGTCAAATTCGATTCCCGTGGACAAATTCTTCAGAGTGAGTCTTGTTCCATTTTTCTTCACGACCACATGAGGTTGTGGATTGAAAGTGGTATCCAATTTGCAGCGTTTCACCAGATTCTTCACTACCACATGATCTCCAAAGTCTATTCTTGATTCTTTTGCCCGCCTTTTTGTGTCTCCATATTCTTTTCCCTTTTCTTTCTTCGTTTTGTCATAATACCTTGCATTGTTGTAAACCTTCAAACAATCAGCTTGAACAAACATAGGGATTTTATCCTTCAAATTTCTTCCTAGCATTAGTTTTGCTGGAGTTACATTTGTTATTGAATGGGGTGTATTACCATATGCTAGTAGGAAATCCTGAAGATCATTTTTCCCATCCCTCTTCATTACTATGCTTATTTTGATTGTTTTTAGTAATGTTCTATTATGTCGTTCTACCAAACCATTTTGGAACGGTGCGTATGGAACTGAGTGCATGATTTTAACTCCGCTCGTCTTGAAAAATTGCATAAATTCAACTGATGCAAAAGGAGGACCGTTATCACATACAATTTCCTCAGGATATCCGAATCTTGAAAACATAGTTCTTAACTTGAATATTGTAGCCTTTGCCGTAGTTGAAGTCATAACGTCAATTTCAGGATACCTTGAAAAGTAGTCAACAACAACTAATAGATGGACTCCATTTGCTACTTCAGTGAAATCCAATGCCAATTTACGCCAAGGACCTTCTGGCAAAACTGTCCTTGTCATTGGTTCAACATTTGCCTCCGATACCAGTATACATCCTGTGCAGTCTTTCACGTACTCCTGAACCATTCTGTCCACGCCATTCCACCAAACTTTTTGCCTCAAACGTTTTTTCATTGCTTCGCATCCTAAATGTGGTTCGTGAGCAAGTTGCAGGACTTTCCTTTGCAGTGATCTCGGTATTATTATTCTATTATTCTTTATTATGAATTTGCCATCTGTAGAAAGATCATGCGCAATTTTTTTATAGCTTGATAAGGTTTTAGGCCACCTTGTAAGAGGGTAAGACATCCATCGCATGAGGTCTGCCAGTTCAATATCTTGGTTTGTAGCATCAATAATATCTTCCAAAAGTAAAGCCACTGGACAAGCATCGGAAGATACCAAACGGATGATTCTCTCACTTTCCTCGTCGTAGCTTTGATTACAAAGGTTCATTTCTTGGCATAACCGTGAAAATGGATCTGCAATATTTGTTTTCCCTGGCTGATATATTACTTTGTAGTCATATGACATAAGACGAAGCTTCCATCTTTCTATGCGCGCACACGGCTTGGCCCTATCTCCAAATATGGTTACCAATGGTTTGTGATCCATAATAAGCCAGAAAAATTTCCCATAAAGGTAATAATGAAACTTTTCAGGTGCCCATACAAGTGCTAGAGCCTCACGCTCGGTTTGAGCGTACCGTTTTTCCACATCTGATAAAGTTTTGGATGCGTAACTGATTATCTTTAGAGATCCTTCCTTAGTTTTCTGGTACAATACAGCACCGAGGCCGACTGGGCTTGCATCTGCTACTATAAATGTTTCTAGATCGGGATCAAAGTATGCCAAAGTCTCGTTTCTTGCTAATGATGATTTTAGGTTATCAAATGCTGTTTGGTGAGTTGAGGTCCAATTAAAAATTACTCCTTTCTTAGTCAAATTATAGAGGGAACTTGCGGTGGTGGATAAATGAGGAATGTACCGGTTGACGAATGTAACTAATCTCAAAAAACTCCGTATTTCTTCTGCTGAACGTGGTTGACGAAATTGGTTTGTATCTTCTAACTTTTCTCTAGACACCCTCGCTCCGTTTGCCGATAGATGAAAACCAAGAAAATTTATTTCCTCCACGCATTCAATAGTTTTAGCATCATTCAGAAACAAATTTCTTTCCGTTAAACGTTTCCTCACTAAATTTGTCCTAATTTTGAGAGATTCTTGATCAGGTGCGTGTATTAAAATGTCGTCAATGAAAACGATCAACCATGGCAAATCCACTAATATTGTTTCCATGCATTTTTGAAATAGTTCAGGAGCAGCTGATAATCCAAATACCAGTCGTTTGTATCGCATTAAACCTAGCGGAGAAATGAAGGTAGTTATATAGCGGCACTCTTCATGCAGCATCAACTGGTGAAATGCTTGTTTTATATCAACCTTGGTGAAATATTTGCTGCCTTTTAACTGACAAATCATCTGTTCCATGGTTGGTAAAGGATGGACTTCTCTAACAATGGCTTTGTTCGCCTCTCGTAAATCAATTATAGTCCTGACCTCATTAGCACTTTTCCTTTTAATGAGCATTGGAGAAACCCATTCCGATGCTTCATTAACTCTCTCAATTATATCCTGTTCCTCTAATTCCTTTAACTTTAGAAGCGTTAATTTTTCTAGGGGAATTGGTATGCGCCGGAAAGCTTGCCAAACCGGAGGGACTGATTTATCGATTTTCACAGATACTGTCATGTCTATTTAATTTATATTATATTATAACTGTAAGCAAAATTATAACTGCTATTAATTCTCACCTTTGATACAGGGCATGGCACTGCTGCTTGTAACATTAAGAAACTTCACCACTTCTAATTTTTCTGCTGAATTTCCAGACAGCAAGGAACACTTCCCATTTTCGATTACAAAGAACGTTGTGTTGCAGGTCCGGTCTCCAATGACGATTTCCACATCGATTTCTCCAAGCACTGTCAACGGACGGTTGGATCGATATCCTCGAAAAATTTTACTGCTGCCCTTTCGTACGTCGAATGCCTTAAATCCCACCTTCTTCAGAGTCTTCCAATCCATTGTACTAAGGACGTCTTCATCAGCACCAGTATCTACCACAAACCGAAGATTTACACCACCAACTGCAGCTATCACTGTGCGTTTACCGTCCAGATGAAACAATTCGCGAATCTCTACTGTGTTAGTAAAATTATCCACTTCTCTTACGAATTTGTGCTTTCTGTTCGAATTTTTACCCTGAAAACGATTTGTTGGCGATTCGAGATTCTTAACATCACCTTTCCGATTTTCTCGTTGGCCATACGGATGAAAATTTTTACGCGGCTTCCAACAGCAACGTGCAAAATGGCCAATTTTCCCACAATTGTTGCATCGAGATACCCGAGCAGGGCATTGCTGGTCACCAGAAATATGAGTTCCCAAACACCGGGTACACGTGCCTTTGTTGTCCATTGAAGTGTTGCTTGATTTAGAAACCGCATTCAAATCGTTGAAATCCGAAAGCTGACAGGACCTTGAACGAAATTCTTGCACTTGTGCGGAAACTGATTCATGAGTTCGCCCAATTTTCAACATTTCTTCAAGAGTAACATCAGCTTCTAAATATTTGGCCCTTAGTTTATCATCGTTTTCGGTCGCATACCACTATTTGATCCATTATCATTTCATTGACTTGATCTTCGAAGTTACA